TTGGTGCCGATGGGTTGAGAGCTTTGTGTCTGGAGGTAGTGTGGCTATCAAGGTCAACGATGACGTAGGCAATTATTTCCAGACTAGGAAGGGGCTTCGTCAAGGCGACCCCGCATCTCCTATCCTTTTCAACATCGTGGCTGATATGCTAGTTACTCTCATCGAGAGGGCCAAACTAGCTGGACAAATCACCGGGGTCATTCCTCATCTAGTAGAAGGAGGCCTCTCAATTTTGCAGTACGCGGACGACACAATTCTGTTTTTGGATCACGACCTTGAAAAGGCCAGAAACCTCAAATTGGTATTATGTGCTTTTGAGGAGCTCTCGGGCCTGAAGATAAACTTTCATAAGAGTGAACTATTCTGTTTTGGCCAAGCCGCAGAAAATTCACAAGATTATGCGGAGATATTTGGATGCCATTTAGGCCAATTTCCGATTAGATATCTAGGTATTCCTATTCATTATCGGTGTTTGACAATCGCTGAATGGAAACATGTTGAAGAAAGACTGGAGAAACGGTTGGCGAGCTGGAAGGCCAAACTCCTGTCCTATGGGGGCCGACTAGTTCTTATCAACTCGGTACTTACCAACATGGTTCTTTATATGCTATCTTTCTTTTCATCTGCCAAAAGGTGTTCTCCAACGCCTTGATTATTTTAGATCAAGGTTTTTTTGGCAGAGTGAAAATGAAAAAAAGAAATATCGCTTGGCTAGGTGGAATATTATATGTCGGCCCAAAAGTCAAGGGGACTCGGAATCCAGGATCTTGAGATCAAAAACATTTCATTGCTCAGCAAATGGGTATACAGATTACTCACTGAGGATGGTGTTTGGCAGGAGATCATTCGTAATAAATACGTTGGGTCCAAAGCAATCTCCCAGGTTTACTGGAAACCAGGTGACTCTCATTTTTGGAGTGGGGTTATGAAAGCTAAGGAATTCTTCTTCCAATTTGGCACCTTCTCTGTCAGGGATGGCTCCCAGATTCAATTCTGGGAAGACACCTGGCTAGGGACTACTCCTCTAAATGTGCAATACCCAAGCTTATATCGAATAGTTAGACATAAGTTTCTCACGATCAAGCAGGTACTGGGACAAGTAAACCCGGATATTTCTTTTCGCAGAACGATTTCTGGACCTCGTTTGAATGCATGGAACGATCTGCTGACTCGTTTGGAAGCTGTCCAACTGTCGGCTGAATCGGACATCTTTAAATGGAACCTGCATCTGAATGGAAGATTTTCGGTTAAATCCATGTACGATGCACTGGTTCATAACAAGGTCCCAGCTGATAATAGAAAATTGTGGAAGCTTAAGATTCCTCTAAGAGTGAAGATTTTCCTTTGGTTTCTCAACAAAGGAGTTATCTTAACTAGGGATAATTTAGCTCGACGAAACTGGCAAGGCAGCAAAAAATGTGTTTTTTGCAATCATAATGAATCCATTAAACACCTATTTTTTGATTGCAAATTCGCTAGATCGGTATGGGCAATAGTCCAAATTGCTTCGGATCTATACCCTCCACGCAGCGTACGGAATATGTTCGGGAATTGGCTGAGGGGAATAGATAAACAATTTTCTAAGCACATTCTTGCGGGGGCGGCTGCCTTATGTTGGGCGTTGTGGCTAACCAGGAATGATATTATTTTTAATCATAAAAGTGTTTCATCTCCTATGCAGGTAATTCATATATGCTCGCGATGGCTCCTTATGTGGTCTATCCTGCAGAGGCCGGAGGACAGAGACTTATTTATGATGGCTTCTACCCGGTTGGAGTGCTCGGCCAGGGACATTTTCTACCCCCATGGATGGCGGTGTGACCTTCGGATAGGCCCGGCATCACCTTAGGCCTCTTTTATCTTTTTTCGCTACTGCTGGCGTTCCGCCTTTTTGTTTTGTTTTTTGGGATCTGGTATTTTGGCTGTGTGCATCTAGATATGCAGAGGCCGGGTTATCTTTGATGCGGTTGTATCAACTCGATAGTTCAATTCAATGAAAAGCCCTTTATCGAAAAAATCACCCAAAAATGACCTTCAGCGGACGCTGGTCCAAACTCTATTTTGAATGGCCAATCACCCAAAAATGACCTTCAGCAGAGCCCAAGCCTTCCACACCGCAAGCTCCATGGGGGATTGGCAAATATGCGGACTTGGCAGTGTAGATCCCTCTCTCGGTGAGTTTCCACACAATGTCAACTTTGGCATGCGCCTCAAGGGTGAAGTCGCGGATGGTAGTACATAGCTCACTCAACACGTTGTGGATGAAGGAGTGGGGAAAACACTTGGGCATTATTTAACCAGAACTAAAATAGGGTAGTTCTCCATGCTTATATACTTATCATGATGCCCTTTACTTTCTTAGTTCACAGTTTTTGGCCGTGAAGCTTTACATTTTTGCATTTGTGTATTGTGTCACAACTTTTTTCCCAAGGAAGTTACTTCCAAGCTAAATTTGCCAAGGTGTGGGCCAGTCGCATTGATGATGGCAAAAGAAATCACATTATGACACAGCAATAGACCGTCATCTCTATTTCCCAAAGAAGTTTGTCCTTGGGACCGAACTTGAGATTGGGATGGGTGTGCTTATCACATTCAATTTCATCAGTCACGGGATTTGCATGTCAATGTGTTTTGGGTGTTAACGGTTGATGCTGATGTTGATGTCATACTGGATGCATATGTCTATTTTAATGTATATATTAAGTGTCTCCAATTCACTATGTTGTACTTTCTAGGGAAGTTTGCAGTGATCCCAGTGTTGTATTTTTGTTTGTTTTTGTAAGGTACCAAATATTTCAAGACTACACCATAAATGTTTTTCATACGGGGACCTGGGAGTCGTATAATTTTTTTGTTGATTCCTAGGTTTTGAAAATTGTCTTATGATTAGGTACCAATGTTTTACTGCAGACGTTTGCCGGTGAAGTTTTGCAACTTGGATCAGCAGCTAAGTCCCCAGGATTAATACCTACTCCTTCTGTCCCAAAATAAGTGTCTTAACTTTCTTTGAGACACTTATTTTGGGACGGAGAGAGTACATTGCATTTTTGCTCTCCTTTCTCTTCTTTCAAGCTGTTTTTGAATTTTTGAACATTTATTGTAAAGTGGGAAAACAAATCTGAAAATTCTAATTTCTTTTGAATTTGTTAACAAAATTTCAAAACATGAACATTTTAGAAAAAAAGGAACAAAATTTGAAACATGCGAACATTTTTTAACATTTCTGAAGATTTGTTGAAAAATAAAAGTAAAAATGAAATAAAAAAGGAAGGAAAAGAGAAAAACAAAAAAAGAAATAAAAGAATAAAAAGGAAAGAAAAAAGGAAAACGAAAAGGAGGATAAAAAAACGAAAAAGAAACATAAAAGGACTTAAAACCGGTCAAAAAAACCAACTGGAACCTCATAGAACGTCCCCAAAACCTGCAGATACTGTTGCGCGTGCGGCAGATAGGATTTTCATTTAGCGGAGCTCATGACAGAAAAATGAGCTTGTGGACCGCGGGTGGTGGAAGGAAAACGCTGTTTGTGGGCTTTCCTTGCCCCAACCAAAGGTGATCCATATGTCTCAAAAAAATAAATAAAAGGTGATCCATATGGGCAGTGCCGCCGTCGCCTCCCCTTTCGCTCACTCACTCTGCCGGCTTCCTCGCCGACGGCCAAATCCTAATCCTAATAGGGAGCTCGCTCCAGCGCTCCGCCTCCGCCTCCGGCGACCGAGCCTCCGCCCTCCACCATCTCAGTCCAGCATATACAGTCTCCACCCCCTCCCCCAGTTCTCCACAGCAAAGGGGCTCGCGTGGCGCGGCGACGGCGGCGGCGAAGTACGCACGGTGAGCCTCCGCCCTTCAGTTATTTACCTTTACCTTCCTGCACGCCATTGACGGAGCTTGGTGCTGACAGCCCCTCCTGGACAAATGTGATCTTAGACTAGACCTAGCTAGCATCGCAGTACGCAGTAGCAAGATCTCAAGGAGAGTCCACTGCATTTACCACCTAATTGATGTTTTAGTTAACCCATGACACCGGATCGTCTTCGTCGTGATCTCAATTTATTACATAGCACGGTCTGGATCTAGATCATATCCAAGGCAATCCATTCTGAATTCGCAACATGCCCAATATGTATGGATGCATAATTTTTGGAGACTGAAAATACATACTAATAGTATATATTCGCTCCGTTCCTAAATGTAAGTTCTTTTAGAGATTTCGCTATGGACTACATACGGATATGTATAGACATAGTTTAGACTATAGATTCACTCATTTGCTCCGTATGTAGTCCATATTGAATGAAATCTCTAAAAAGACTTCCATTTAGGAACGGAGAGATACTTAGGAGAAGGGTGGGCAGTGACAGGGTAATTAATTTAGGTGTTGGTGGATGTATGCATCTTGAGATCCACAGGGTGATAAGACAGTCCGTTCCCATCGGAAACTCGATAATGTATTCGAGCCTCTCCCTTGACCAAAGCTGTCTTTTGCCAGACGTGTCTGGCAAATACATAACTAGAGCTAGTAGTTGACCTGAAGGGAATCACGACAATCAGGGCAGCGAAACTACCATTAACCAATGGAAATATTTAAATCTGACCAATGACACTTCACAAACTGTTCAATAGTTCAGAACTGCATGTGGCGGCCATGTGCAAGCAAATTAAGCTAGTAAGCAAGTTCAGCAACCTGACAGCTACCCACGTTATGCAATTAATTAACTAGATCTGTCCAATGCAGTTGTCTGCTAGTGTTATTACGTCTAATTTGCACGACACAACGGAAGCCCCATCTTCATCTTCACCGGGATTGAGTTACTCTCTCCTCGAGCTCGAGCTGAATGAGCAGGACATCCATCCATATCAAAGGTTGGTGAGGTAGTCCAAGTTTATTCTGTCTCTCTATTTACACCTCTACCTAATTTAGCTTCTTGCCTTTTTTCCTTATCTCCTACCAAAATTTCACCTTGTATTTATTATCGCAGCAAAAGGCAGCAAGTTATACAATGGCGATGGTGTTAGATGCTTTTGCATCCTACCTAGGGCACATGCTCACGCATGTAGCAGCAAATAAGGCAGGGACGATGCTGGGCGTCTCCGGTGAGATCGACAAGATGGGCAGCAAGCTTCTGGACCTCAAGAACTTCTTGGCTGATGCCGATCAGAGGAACATCACCGACACAACCGTCCAAGAGTGGGTCGGGCAGCTAAAGCGTGCCATGTATGAAGCTACTGACATCCTCGATCTGTGCCAGCTGAAGGCCATGGAGCGTGGACCTTCCGCCGTAAATGCAGGGTGCTTCAATCCCTTGCTCTTCTGCATGCGGAATCCCATCCTTGCTCATGAGATCGGCATCCGCATCAAGGCGCTCAATAGGAGGCTTGACTCCATCAAGGAACGAGGCGCTTCATTCAACTTCATCAATCTCAGGTACTATGAGGATCATAGCAGCAATGCCCACTCCTCTCTCCATGGTAATCCAAACCGGGAGACGGCTGGGGACTTTGACCGGGCAGCTATGGTTGGGGAGAAGATTGAAGAAGACGCACGAGCACTGGTTGTTCAGATCATGCAGACTAGAAAGGAGGTCAACAATGACATCAGGGTGGTCGCCATCGTAGGTGTCGGCGGTATTGGCAAGACAACCCTTGCCCAGAAGGTCTTCAATGATGATGCAATTCAAGGTGAGTTCAGTAAAAGGATATGGTTGAGCATCAACCAAAACTTTACTGAGGTTGAGCTGCTGAGAAGAGCAATTATTGAAGCCGAAGGAGACTCCCAGTCGGCTGGAAATGCAAAGGCCACTCTTCACCAAAATCTCAAGGATTCCATTATTGGTCACAAGACCTTACTGGTAATGGATGATGTGTGGGACCATGGAGCATGGGAGGGTGTGCTCAGAATACCCTTTATCAATGCTGCTGCTTCAGGCAGCCGAGTCCTCATCACCACGAGAGATGAAGGTGTCGCTCGAGGGATGGCAGCAAGATGGCCCTACCACCACATTGACACATTATTGCTTGAAGATGCCTGGTCATTGCTCAAGAAGCAGGTCCGTACTTAATTAAATACTAATATCTTAATCAAGTGAATAATCCGTCTCCATCTACTTATTAGCAGCACACTGTAATTAAGTAGGAGAAATGTTAGGATGCGTCTAAATTAATTAAGTATGAACTTGTATTTACTCTTACCTCTTGGAAGGTAAGAGGTTGTCAACAATTTTGTAGGGCTAATATTACTTTGTTAGTGTCAATAAAACATAATGCTAGACAGGGTAATATATCACAGCACCAACTGGGTTTTCCATATTTTATTCATGCCCACATCTCACATGTTCGAGACACATACATTTTGTTTAGTCAAATTTGAGTAATAACAATCAGAGGTTTGGCTAATTGTTAAGTAGTGTATTTATCATTTTTACCAATAGAATAAAATAATATTTGAAGATAGAAAAACAACAATTTTCTTGAACCTCTACCAATACAACAAAATAATATAACACAAGAATTAACAATACTAGAAGTCGTTGGTAGTTTTGCTAGGATAATTGCACGGAAATTTTAGTCAGCAATGTTCGGCTACTAGGTATATGTATTCTTGGCGACTGGGAAAAAAAGATATTTTCAGTAAAATAAGGAAACTCGTAAATATTATATGATTTCTACTAAATTTGGGGTACATGTTTCTGTATAATGATAAGTGAGTAGTGCAAGGTATATTTCTGTCCAGCAATATAATCTTGTATGCAAGAAGTAAAGGAAAGAAACATTTCTTGTCTGTATAATTTTTCTGGTATAAAGTATCTATGTTATATGTGGAAGTCATTGCACTAATCTTCTGAATGTAGGAACAGCATAAGTATGTATATATATAGCATTTCTTTTCCGCATGTATGGAGCTTGATACCTATTCAGCTAATTAACTGTATTAGTCCTTTAAATTGCATATTCGCAGGTACTCTCAAGTGAGATAGATGAAGATCACATCAATACGCTGAAGGATGTTGGATTGAAAATTATACAAAAATGTGGTGGCTTACCACTCGCCATCAAAGTAATGGGAGGGCTCTTGCGTGAAAGAGGGGGACTACGTCGTGATTGGGAGCATGTTCTGGATGATTCGAAATGGTCAATAACTAAAATGCCCCAAGAGCTCAACTATGCAGTATACTTGAGCTATGAATATATGCCTTCTTACCTGAAGCAGTGCTTTTTATTCTACTCTATTCTTCCTAAAAGTAAATTTTTTACTCTGAATCAAGTCGTCGCAATGTGGATAAGTGAAGGATTTATTCATGGAAACTCCAGTGATTTGGAAGAATTGGGAAGAAGTTACTACAAGGAGTTGGTATCTAGGAACCTTATAGAGCCAGATAAATCGTATATTGGTTTAATGGTTTGCAGCATGCATGATGTTGTTCGCTCATTTGCTCAGTATATGACTAAAGATGAAGCACTCGTAGCTCATGACGGGGAGAATGATATTCTTACTGGACTTAGTTCACAAAAGTTTCTTCGGCTGTCCATAGAAGCCAACCAATCACAATCAGGTGAACTTGACTGGAAATCTCTACGAGCGCAACAATCAGTGAGAACATTAATCTTAACTATCCAGATCAAGATGAATCCTGGTGATTCACTGGTTACCTTTTCTAGTTTGCGGATTCTATATATACACTCTGTAGGTGTGGCTGCATTGGTTGAATCGTTGCATCAACTCAAGCACCTGAGGTATCTGGCACTATTAAACACTGACATATCTGTTCTTCCAGAGAACATTGGCAAGATGAAGCTATTGCAATATTTTGACCTTATTGGATGTAAAAATTTGGTGAATCTTCCAAATAGCATTGTGAAGCTTAGCCAGCTGAGGTTACTTATTCTTCCCACGTCAAGTATTGTACCTAGAGGGTTCAGCGGTCTGACAAATATGAGGAGACTAAGCGGGTTTCGAGCCCACATGGATAGCGATTCATGCAACTTGGATGAGTTGGGGCCTCTTTCCCAACTCAGATTTCTTACTTTACATGAATTGGAGAATGTGTCGGCTGCCCTGTTTGCTGCTAATGCTAAGCTTGGTGAGAAAAAACATCTTATTGACATAGCCTTGAACTGCACAAGCAAACTAGGAAATGATGGGTTGGTCGAAGAGAAAGAAGGTGTTTCTGAGGAAGAGCAGCGACGAATTGTGAATGTGTTCAATGAGCTCTGCCCTCCGCCTAGTGTTGAAAATCTGGAAATTGAGGGCTATTTTGGACAGAAACTCCCTAGTTGGATTATGTCGACTTCAACAGTGCTGCTCGGCAACTTGAGGACTCTACTGTTTGCTGACTTGGCCTGTTGCACACAACTTCCCAATGGGTTGTGCCAGCTCCCCAATCTGCAGTTGCTACAGGTCCGTCGTGCTCCATGCATCAAGCGTGTTGGAACTAGATTCTTGCAGGCGGCGGCAACTCCATTTCCAAGGTTAAACAAATTGACCTTAGGAGGAATGGTGCAATGGGAGGAGTGGGAGTGGGAGGAGCAAGTACAAGCCATGCCCCGTTTGGAGAAGCTTACACTCATTACTTGCAAACTGATGCGTGTACCTCCTGGCCTTGCCTCCAATGCAAGGGCTTTGAAAGTATTATCTTTCAACAATGTCCAACAACTTTGCTGCCTTGAGAACTTTCCTTTTGTTGTAGAGCTTACAGTGTCTGGAAGCTCCGACCTGGAGAGGATCACCGATCTCCCTAATATGCAGAAACTTATCATCTCCAGTTGCCCAAAGTTGAAGGTGTTGGAGCGCATCCCTAAACTCGAGAGGCTAGTCCTTGAGGATTATATCATGGAACAACTCCCAGGTTACATGCAAGATATCAATCCACGACATTTGTTGTTACATTGCAGAATATGGTTGCTATCTGCATTAGCCGTGGGACAATCTGGTCTCGAGTGGGACAAGTTCAGCCATGTGGAGCATGTCAAGGCATATGCACGTGACAGAGACAACCAAAGGAAATGGTACTTGTTTTACACAAGAAGAGACAACTTCAAGTTGGATTCAAATACCAGCTGCTATACCATATTTGAAGGTATAGAAAATAAAACATACGAGCTTTCTCTTAATTTGTTTGAGCACTCCACTCGGCCAGTTTATAAGTTCATTTGTCTTTTTGTCCCCTAACTTTAGTCCATATATACTGCACGATGACTGAACATATTCGGTTGTTTTTTTTTCCGTTTCACATGATTATGACATTTCAGAGGATGTATGGACTTAAGTTTTACCAGTTATGTATATATATTTTTTGATGCAGAAACACTATCATCTTGTATGGTGGACGCACAAGGATTTGAGACTGTGTACAAAATGAGAAGAAGTACCTTTAATCACGTCTGCAGGTTGGTGAGGGTGTCATTTTTTGAAGATATGATGACAAGGGGTCACACTTTCACCTTTGTTGATGGGAGAGTGTTGTGTTTACAAGATTGTGTAGCTGTCGCTTTGAGAATGTTGAACTCTGGTGAGCCACAGGAGGTCATAGGATCCTCAGTTGGTGTGAACGAGTCAACTGTCTCGCTTGTTACTCAGATGTTTGTTGACGCTATGTGGAAGCAAGAAATCCACAACGTACTCTGGCCGCGCTATGCTGAGATGGAAAAGATCAAGCACAAGTTTGACAAGATCCACGGCCTGCCCAACTGCTGCGGTGTTGTACATACAGCTCACATCACATTTGGATCGCTAAACCATGAACCTGGTGATGGGGAGTATGACGACATGCTAATGCTAGTCGTTGATCCAGATATGAGGTTCATAGACACTGACCTTGGATCACAGAACCAATTGAGCGTTTTGCACGACTCGTGGCTGTTTAAGTCCTGCCAGGAGGGTACTACGCTGAATGGCAGTAAGCTGAAGGTATCAGATTGTCTGGATGTTGGGGAATACATCATTGGTGATGCAGGATACCCTCTTCTCCCCTGGCTCCTCACACCTTACCCGCTGGAAGACAAGGACCTCTCTGCAGATTTCCCTTTATATCAAGCCGAGTTCAACAGGAGACACTCTGCAGCATCAACCCTGGCGCTGGTTGCGGTGGCGAGGTTGAAAGACACTTGGAAAATCCTGGACAGAGCTGTCAGTTCAGGCCCGAATCTTAGACCAACCTATGTGTGTTGCATGTTGCATAATATAGTTATAGATATGGAAAAAGCGGAGCAGGGGGTGGAGGAGGGTGTAGGCATGGAGGAGAAGGTGCGGCAGTTAGCGGACGAGGACGCCGCAAGGACGAGGGACGTGCTGGCCAAGCACTTGATTGAATCTAGAGGTAAATCAGCACAGTTGTTAATGTGTTTGTTCGCACTCTAGCTCTGTCTCTCTTTTGCCTTTTTGCAGTTCCATGCTACTCCTATTTGATTACATGCTAATTTCACCCGCTTGGCTGCAGAGGAGGAAAAAGAAGCAGCAGTAGTAGTTGCATCCAGTTCAGGAGATCAAAACAAGGGATAGGGTGCACGCCAACCACAAACAGCAGATCGGGGAAAGGAGAAAGTGCATGATAGCTTTAGCTTAGGAGGTGAGATCAGATTGTCCTCTGCATTGTACTCCCTCCGTCCGAAAATACTTATCATCAAAATGGACAAAAAGAGATGTATCTAGAACTAAAAGACATCTAGATACATCCCCTTTTATTCATTTTGATGACAAGTATTTCCGGACGGAGGGAGTATCAATTAGGCACTATTTTTCTCCTCTGCTATATTAATCGTGCTTCAGGTCGTAGTTCTGTTCTTAGTTTATTCTCTTATATGTTAAGTTACTTGCTCAGAAAGAGAGTAGTGACCTGATAGTACACCTGTTGGTAAAGAAACTACGCTTATCAATACACCAGGCTAGCAATATGCTAAGCAAAACACATTGCATATTAACTGACCGGCTGTATAACTTTTGAGTGTTCAGTATGCATACTAGTATCTCGTCCAGTTTAAATGTTGACGTGAGCAGGCGGAAGGGAGACTAGCTTGTAGATGGATCTTCATCCTATTGCTTGGCTACATCAAATCAAATCGCCAACGGCTGAAGGGACGCGGCTGCAGCACTAAACTTAAAGTTGGATCGGCGAATTTGTTTCTTTGGTTTTTCTTTTCCTCCATATCTTTGGATTAAGACAAGTGAGGTGAGGTGTGTTTTCGGGAGAGAACAGTTAATATTTGTGTATCCAAGTTGGCTGTTGTGACCTGAAGAAAGAATTTGTAAACAGAAGGGCAGGGAGACTTGCATGTTGTTTATATCATTGCCAACAAACTTTCATGCGGTTGAGAGAACAGTTAATGGTGTATCTGCACGGAGACTGCACACTATTACCCCGAAGAATTACGCAAGGTCGTAGCAGGTTAATTAGTCCTGTCTGCATGTTTATTCACAACGGATGTTCGGGCATGATTCATTCAGTTGTCGCAGGTGTTAGCTTTATGAGTCTTGTGGCTGCTTGTTTCTGGGCTGGTCGTTGCTTCTCCATTAAGGTTAGTTTGCCAAAGGAAGGTTTCAGTCATCACTTTGTTTCTCATGTGAACAAGAGCATGATGTGCGTGCCATTTGCAATCCATTCACAAACAGTTGCTTTACTATGTACTCCATTGCTTATGCATCTAGTTTCCATTTGATTCTGTCTGCAGGTATGATTGGGCTGCCAAGAAGTGCTTGCATGCGTTGGCTTTTTATGGCTCAGTGGAGTGAGAACATCAAGCCGAACAACTAATTTTTATGAATTTTTTTTAACTTTGACTTTGTGATTTTTTTTAAAACATGAACATGTTTTCAAAATTCGGAACAACTTTAGAAAATGTGATTTTGAAACGCGAACATTATTTTCAATTTGTGAACATTTCATTAAAAGAAGAATATTTTTTGAATCTTGAACATTTTTAAATGTTTTTTTGGAAATATCAGAAAATTTTGGAAAATACTATCATTTTATGAATTTTGAACAACTTTTGGAACGGTAAAAATAAAATAAAATGCCAAAAATAATAATTTGAAACAGTATTTCTTTCAAAATTCTGAAAAGTTTTTGAAAATTTGACCAAAACAGGAATTCTGGAAAGTTTAAATTTACAAAAAAAAGCGAAAAAGTAAAATAAATTTCCAAAGGAAAAAATATAAAATAAACAGGAAAGAAAATAAATAAAAACTACAGAAAAAATCGAAAACGGGCCGGCCCTGTCTAGGCTGTCTTGTGCGAAGCCCTGACTATATGCCGTACTGAGCAGCAAATCGGATTTTCCCCACTCGTGGGCAGTAAATTAAGTGGGCTGGCTTCGCTGGGCCAGAGCACGTGTGGCCCATATATGAAATCCTGGACAAACCATTATTCTCTTCTAACAGACGGATGCACAATCTTTCTCAAAAAAAAAACAGACGGATGCACAAAAATTTAGTACCAACTCGAATAAAAGAAAAATCTTTTCAACGATGAACGGATGAAAAAATCAAAGAAATGTACCTTACTTTATTAGTAGGTATAGGTATAGATATAGATGCATGAAGAAAGGTCAATCTGACAAAGCCCTGATGTGGAACCAGTGGCAGGCCGATGATCCTTGTACGGATGACTATCATCCTCTTGTCATGGCAACATATCCATGCCTTGATAATATTATCCTTTTAGTTTGTTTATCAATGCAAGTTTTTTTTTTAAATAGTCATCATTTTATCATATTCATGAACATTGTTTCCTAATTTATGAATAGTTTTTAGATTCATGAAAATTTTTTGAATTCATGGAAAATTTATAATATTGTCCCTAATAAATAAATTCTGAAACTTTTTTTGAATCCGGGATCATTTTTCAAATTCAAGAATGTTTTTAAAAATTTGGGAACCTTTTCCAAAATCACAAACACATGTTTGAATCCATGAACATTTGTTTAAATTGTGAACATTTTTTGTATTTGCTCCTGTTTTGAGACAATTGAATATTTTTAAAATTTTGTGAAAATTTTCAAATTCAATTTTTTTCCAATTTGCAAACATTTTTCAAATTCATGAACATTTGTTAAAATACTAGTATTTTCATCCCAATTATACTAGTTGTTTGAAAAGAAAAAATATATATTTTGACGTGCGGATATACACACTGCTTTTTTTTATATGCATACATTTGTTTTAACATAGTACACAGGCAGACGCTCATACATACACATATACAATCACCACCAGGAACGCACGCACGCACATCATACCCGTGCAAGCACCTCTGAAAGACTAATCCCTACAATCACGTATGAGGGTTTTCTCGTGCCGCCATCACCGCTGTTATCTGAGAAATTTAGATCCCCTCGCTTCCAGCTGCCATCTTGGCACTGAGAGTGTTGGAAATGTGCCCTAGAGGCAATAATATTGTATTACTATATTTTTCATATTAATAATTAATAATTTATATTCTATGCTATAACTGCTATGATCCTACAATATGTGATTCAGTGGAAAACTCATATGCACATGTTGAATGATAAATAGTAAAATAAGATTCCTTGTCTCGCCTCTAAGACAAGCTTAAGTGTTGTTGGTGATCATGTTTTTGGATCTTAGGATATCGTTAAGTGTAATGATAGTCCTAAGACAATTTTGAGAATATGACATTAGAAAAACGATCATATTGAATCACCCAAACTTGTTTGTTATACTTTGAGATAATATCATCAGAGTCAATTGTTATAACACGAAGAGTTTACATGTGATTTAGTTTCTTAGACCATAAGAATATCGTTAGTCACTTTTTACCATATGATGAACTTTGGGGTTGCTCAAACGTCATCTATAATATGATGATCATAACGATAACTTACAAATTTATTAGAAAGTTTGACAAGGGATGGGCAAATAGTCTAGGCCTCCCTCCATGTAAGGCCCGACAATTAGTGATTACTCGAATATAAATTTGTTAGCCCAACGGTGAGGCACATGCGCCACGAGGCACGACAAGGTGAGCTAGAGGCGGCACCATCTTGACGACAGCACGCAGGTCTGCAGGGCCATGAAGCGTGACAGGATGTCATGGAACTAATTTAGATCCGATTACTCGAATACAAACAGTAATGTCTATCACGGGGACAATTACTTTTTTTATTTGAGGGGGAATGGGAACAACTACTCTTTTTTAGGCAAAGGCAACAACCTTTTTTTAGCAGCGATAGTTTGGCTTTATTGATCGAGAGTGTTTCATGCGGAAAGCCTAACCACGTGTGTATTATAATTATACATATATTTGTAAATATGTATTTATGTGAGAATCTGCAGTTCGAGGGCACACTAGGATCATCTTTTTCATACATACACTTATATGTTTTTAGAATACATACATATTTTTTAGAAAAGACATAAACTTTATTAAAATGCATGAATACATTTAAAATAACATAAAAAAATCATGATCACTTCTATGTACAACATGAATATATTTTTTAGAAAACTTGTAAATTTTTTGAACATATATGATAAATTTTTAGTGTATACATATTTTCTAAAACTACTTAATTTTTATTTAATATGAAAAAACTTTTTAAAATTATACATATTATCATAATTTAACTTGATGGTTTTTTAAAATTAATAGGTGAGCATTTTTTTAGTCTATTTTATTTATTTATATGTATATTATTTATAATTAAAATTTACATTTTTCAAAAAATTGTAAAATGAAAACAGAACTAACATAATTGCACGAACACATTATGTTATACTATCAAAACTGTAACATTGTCTCAAAAAAATTTGCAACAATTCTATATAGACATGAGATGTGTCTCAAAAGAAAAAAAAAAATATAGATATGACACTCCGTTAGTTGGAGTGGCATGTACTCCAGTTTGTTTTACTCTGGTCGTTGGTTCAAAACTCCATGGGCAAAAACTTTTTAAAATTCTCAAATTATGTTATTCAACCAATAGTTATAAAACTTGTGTATGCCAATATGTGATAAACATAACTTTGGCAGGTGGCTAGCCGCACACGCGCTTTAGACAGGCGTCACCGGTTCAATTCCCTCAGTGGCCTAATTTTCATTGTAGTAACATTTGTGATGTATCCTTGATAGGTGGGACCCCCCGACTGTACACCTGGCAGGGGCCTTCTCGTGAGAAAAATAAAATCCAAGGGGAATTTTGCATCTTCATCATGCAATCACTAACAGCGGGCTCTACGTCATGCTGTCATGCCACATCAGCGTCTTGGATGTACTATCTCAGCCCTTGCTTGAAAACCTCAAAATTGGCTTGCATCTTCCCTTATCACACTACACTTTCTCTTCCTTATTCCATTTCACTGAGCTAAGCAACACTTTTTCACGTATTCACCCAAGATATTATAGAAACTAGAACATGATGGCGCGCGTTGCTGCGCCCGTCTATTTTGGCAGTAGATTGGTATGAATTTTCGTAATCTATGGTGATATAAAACACGAAAGCTAAATTTACATAAGCCAACTCTTATATTTGTAAGTTGTCAAATTG